GATGTTTCCGATTTTCTGTAACTCTCTGCTTCCGTTGTTGATCCTTCAACCTCTTCTCAGCTTTTAATCTAGAAAGAACAGAGCAGGATAGATTATTTCTTTCAATAATATAAAGTCTTGACCATAAGTATGTTTACAAATTAATGTAAATACGTCAATTCTATATTTAACGAAAAATATATTAAAGAAACAATTTTATTTAAAAAATATTCATTTTCATATCTATATCAATTTCGACATTTTACTCTACTATGACTTTTATTACTGCCTTTTCCAAGAAAATACAATAAATTGAGGGTGCTTTATACTTGTGGCCGAGGCTATGTATTTTTATGGCGCAATTATGTATTGACAAATATTAATTACGATAAATAAAAGCAGACTCGTAAATACCTTGCTATTTCTTCCTTGGTAAGGGGTTTAAAGTCAGCCGGATTTTCAGAATAGGCCTTTCGACACGCGGGACATAGGCCGTTCTCGTCGGTACGAATTCTGTGCCAACAAAAACGGCATATCTGATATCCGCAGGTGCACGGGAAGAAATTCAGATCGTCCACCTCCAACGGCTCCATACACAGAGGGCACTCCACCGCATCCTCGCCGCTTTGATTCAATACTGACATCTTCGATTGCTCTAATCTCGTGAATGTCACAAGACGAGCAAAATCACGAATATTTATCTAAGTGCCAAAGTCTGTAAATAAAACGCGACGCCAGTCGCAAGATCAGTCGAGATACGTCTGGCACGTTCTCTTTTTGTTATATATTATCCCTTTTGTCTATCCGACACCACCAGATTTTTCGAATTTTATGTCGCAGAGATCCGAAATGCCACTTTGGTTTCACTTACATGCAAAGTCCCTTCACCTAACGCTGGCTGATGAGTATAATTGACAGTGCTCGCAGACTTCACCTTAACACGTCGCTAAACTTTTGTCCTGATCTGAAACAGATGGACGCAGCAAACCGTTAATCATCCGCGCTTTCTCGGAGGGAGAGGGGGGGGGAGGAAGAGGGGGATCCGGATTTCACGTTCGTGCTCGCGAGAGGACACAGTTCCTATCCCATCGTCGTCCGGACATTTTTTCCGCGCGACAGTTTCTCGCCGACGAGACGGTGATAACGTGAAATGTAGACACGCGCGCGCAAACGGCTTTTACACGACGCAGAAGACGCAGAAAACGTTCGTTTGTCCTCAGCTGCACTCCCACGCGCTTTTCCCGTCCTGTTATCAGATCGAAACAGGTGCGAGACGGGCGCGCGAGGTGAGACGAGAGGTAAGGACGGAGAGAGAGAAAGAGAGAGAGAGAGAGAGCGAAGACGGAGCGGACCGAAAGGGCGACGACAGGTCACGAACTCCGCGAGTTCCGTTTTGACAGGAGCTGTCAGATCTGCGCGAGAAAAAGGGGGGAGGCGGTGAAGGGGGAGGGGAGGGAGAAGGAGAACGAATGGCGAGAGAGGTGCAGTGAACAAAGGAGACGTGCATACCGGAATTCTCGCGCGATTACGCACGAGGGATCGCACGACGCCCCACGCACGAGGGTCGACGACGTCGAGGTCGTCGACGACCAATGAGAGGGGTGGGGGGGGGCGGAGAGGTGGAAGGGGCGAGGAAGGGAAGAGAAGGTTCGGTAGAAAAATCCTGTGCACTGTTCTACAAAGAGAGGGACACCATTCTCTACTTTTCTTTTTCTTTTCCTCTCTCACGCGTCCCCCTCCTCGCCCTTCTTCGTCGCGCGACGAAAAACGCGAACCGTACCAGAGGGCGACGATCGGGCGAAACAGCTGTTGGTTGGCGTCCGCGAGAGAGAAGCCCCGGCGGAGAGCGAGAGTTTCACTGGCTACGCCATAATAAC